GCGGCAGAGCGGCGGCTGGAGGCGCTCACGCGGGAGCTGGAGCGCGCGCTCGAGGCGCGCACGGCGCGAGACTACTTCGGTGAGCGCGCGGGCCGGGGTCCGGGGGTCCGGGATGCGCTAGGCGCGGGTGGGGTCTCTTCTCCCGCCAGATGCGGAGGTGTCGCGCGCTTCCTGACTTGACGCCGGGATGCGGGGCGGGCGGGCGGGGGGGTGGGCAACGAGATCAGGTTGATTGGCAAAGTACGCTATTTTCTGGACACTTCAAAAAAAGTTTTATTTAAGAGGCAAGGTCTCAGTGGGTAGCTCTGGCTGGCCTGGAACTCAGAGATCTTGCCTTTGCCTTCCCAGGATTGGCGAAAGATTTAGTTTTGTATGCGAGGGTACCCTAGGAGGCCAGAAGAAGGTGTCAGATCCTTTGGAGCAGGAGTAACAGGAGTAATTGTGAGCAGATACGGATGCTGAGAAGGGAATTTGAGGCCTCTGCAAGAGCAGCAAGTGCTCTTAATTGCTAACCAAAGTCCCTTTTGCTGGGCATTCTTCATCCTTAGCATCGCTCCTGCTCACCCTACTAATGCTTGATGAAGAGCAGAACGGAAGTCTACCTCCCCTCCCAATTGTGTGAGCCATGGTTAGGGAGAGAGAGGAGATGCCTTAGGTACCCCTGAACCCGTGTGACGAGACTTCAGGTAGGACTGTGTGAGGCCACAGGACCAAGCCAGGCACACCAGGCTGCCCTGGGCGGAGGCGCATAGTTCCTAAAGGAAGACTGGGCCGGGGTAGAGCGCTTGCCTAGAGTACTCGCGGTCCTGGGTTTGTTCCCCAGCAAGGCAAAACAAACAGAACCACAAACCAACCTCAGAGCTGGATACACAAAGGAGAAGTTCAGACTTTAGCCAGGCATGGTTGGTACAGGCCTGTAATCCCAGCACTTGGGAAGCGGGAACAGTAAGAGAGTTCAAAGTTCAAAGCCAGCCTGGTCTGCATACAGTTCCAGGCCAGTCAGGACTACATGGCAAGACCTTCCTTCTTTCAAAAAGTGGCAACAGAAAATGGACTTTATACCACCAAATACCACAGAAAGGAAATAAGACTCACAACAGCTTTGGGAAGTCATGGCATGCAGTAGCCCGACAGTCTCTGAGCGCTTTGCTTAGCACATTACTTGAGGTGAATCAGGATGGAGGGCTTGAGGCTCCTGGCTTGGAGGGTGTGCATGGTCAGCAAGCCTGGGACAGGCCTGGCAGATTCCGAGCCTTCTCAGCCCAGTAGAACTAGTGGCTCTGGGTTGCTTTGAAGGAGATCTTGGGGCGCTAGAGGCTGCCTGTTAGCAGGTCGGTGGGTGCATTCCAGGACGGAGGAGGATAGTGAGGTTAGGAGAAGGTTGTAGCCCAGGATGGGTCAATGTCAAGGGCGTGTGTGGGCTAAAGGGGTGGCCTGTCTCTGGAGTGAGGTGCTTGGTCCGATGTCAGAAGTCAGGATGGGAATCTATGGCTTAGCAGATGTGGTGGTGGCTGCTGGGAGTAGGACGTGAGTGGGAAGCTGGCCTCCTGCCACAAGCCACTGAGCATCTTCTGAAGGGTCGAGCATCCGGCCCCTGCACGTTTGGAGGCTGGCATTCGCTGCCCATTGTCCCCCATGGCTGCTCCTGAGACTGCATATCACCCTGGGTAGGTACCACGGGAAGTAAAGAGACCGGAAGAGAGGAAGGTTCCTTCCCAGAGCAGCGGGGGTTCGGCTTTAGTCCTTTGAAGTCCGGGAGGAGTCTGGGCTGGCTGATTATAGAGGCCCCCCTCAGAGTACGGTCTCCTCTAGTGCAAGGTGGTCTAGATTGAGCTCTTTAGCCAAGGATGGCCCTTATCTCCTGCCTGCACTCCAAGTGGTCAGATTACAGGTGTGCACCACAGCCAGATTCTGGGGTGATAAGGGTGGAGCCTGGGGCTTCATGCATGCTAGGCAAGCACTCTGTCAACTGAACCATGTCCCCAGCCTCCCCCTTTTTTAGAGAGGGTCTCATCCTGTAAACCAACCTGACCTTCAGCTACCCACCTTCCTGCCTCAGCCTTCCTGAGTGTTGGAATTGCAGGTGTGAGCCGTCATACCTGGTCTTAGTGCTGGTCCTCACCCCCCCGCAACCCCCAAGCCAAACAGACACTGTTTTTTTCTGGTTCTTAAAAATACAGGCAGTTTTGCTTGAACTATGTATCTGATGACAACTGATGTTTTGAGCTATAAAAACATCAGTTTCCAGGTGTGTTAAACACCTGTAATCTAACCACTTGGGAAACTGAGGCAGAAGGATTATGCATTCCAGGCCAGTCTGTGCTATAGAATGGCAGAAGACAAAAATGTGTGAATTTCCAGATTGTTTTTTAATTTAAAGACCAGAGCCTTGGCCCAGGCTGAGCTCTTCCTGTTTCGGCCTCCCAAGTGCTGGGGTTATAGGCATTCGCCAACCTATGCAGCAATGTCCAGTTCGCATTTTAAAACATTTCAAAATCTTGCGGCAGTGGTGGCGCACGCCTTTAATCCCAGCACTGGGGAGGCAGAGGCAGGCGGATCTCTGTGAGTTCGAGGCCAGCCTGGTGTACAGAGTGAGATCCAGGACATCCAAGGGTACACAGAAAAAAAAATTCAAATCTTTCAACCTGAGTAAATAAATACCTCTTACAGAGGGAAGTCTGGCCTCAAAAAGCCTTGTCTGCACGTGTTCCCCGCCTGCGCCATCCCTCCTCACTAAGCTCCGCTTCAGCTGACCTCTCGCCACCCCGTGCCATTTATTCCTGTCTCCGGAACTTTGCCTTCTCCTCCTGAGTTCGGCGACGGCCTCAGGCCCCCGGAAGCTCCTCTGCTGCTGAGACTCCTAGGACCACACCCTGTGTTTGCTTCCCTTCTGCAGCCTTTGGTTCTGACTCCTGTTTGATTCTTCACAGGACCCCCACTCTGAATTGCTGGGATTCCCCCGCCCCTGCAACACACACACACACACACACACACACACTTTGCTATTCTGCCTGGCTGTGAGGGGTTTGGAGAAAGCCCCTGGGACCAGGATGGTTTGTTTTTGTTTTTGTTTTTTTTTAATATTTTAAAAATTACATGTGTGTGTGGGAGGGGTGTATGTGGGTGTAGAGACATGAATGCTGTGGTCTGTGTATAGAGGTCAGAGACCCACAGTGGGAGGTGGTTCTTTCCCTCTACCCTGCAGGTTTTGACACTTGAACCCAGGTGGTCAGCTTTAGCTGCAAGGTCCTCTGAGCCATTTCACTGGCCCTGGAATAATTGCTGGTCTTTGACCTCAGTGGTTTTCAAGACTCTACTTATTCTGCTCAGCCTCGGTCCGTTTGCTTTTCTGTTCCCTCAACAGCCCTCTGGTCTCCTGCCATACATCCCACTTCCCATCGCTCAGAGTCCTGAGGTCCGCCAGGGTAGTCTTCCTGTTCCTCCCCCATGCTTTCAGTGCCTGGCCGGCCTCTCCTGCCGTCTTCTCTCTAACCCCTTCCTCCAGCTTAGCTTCCCTCTCACCATTGGCCCCTTCCTTTCCGTTATCTGTACAAGGAACACTCACGCGAACGCACGTGTGCACGTGGGGACACACACACGCACATGCACACACACACACACGCTGGTGAGATGGCTCAGTGGCTAACCCAAGCCTCACCTCCCTAGTTTGGTTGCGGAATGCACATGAAGAAGGGGAGAACCGACTCCTGCCGGTTGTGTTCTGCCCACTTGTGTACCGCAGCGCGCACATATGCTCATGTGTGCACATGTACACAGTAGCGCCCCTCTGTCCTTTCATCTACCTTCCCCCGCTCAGTTCTCGCCTATGTCCTCCCTCCCCTCAATTCTGAGGAGTCTTGTGCCCTGGAGTCACCTTTTTTCTGTGATTCAGGCTGGCCTGGAACTCATCATCCTTCTGCTGAGTTTTCTGATCACTGCGATTGTAGGGATAGACCACCACACCTGCCCTTTCTTTTTTTTTTTTTTAATTATTTATTCTTATGTTCATTGGTGTTTTGCCTTCATATGTGTTTATATAAGGGTGTCAGATCTTGGAGTTATAGACAGTTGTGAGCTGTCATGTGGTTGCTGGGAATTGAACCTAGGTCCTCTGGAAGAGCAGTCAGTGCTCTTATCCGCTGAGCCATCTCTCCAGCCCCCCACACCTAGTCATTCTAAAGTGTGTTTTTATTAAAGCAGTCTGGGTACATAGAGAATATACACAGAAATTAATGCAACATAGGAGCTTCCCTTTTTTTTTTTTTCCCCCCTCGAGACAGGGTTTCTCTGTGCAGTTTTGGTGCCTGTCTTGGATCTCACTCTGTAAACCAGGCTGGCCTCGAACTCAGAGATCCTCCTGGCTCTGCCTCCCGAGTGCTGGGATTAAAGGCGTACGCCGCCACTGTCCGGCGGAGCTTAACTTTTTAACACACCCTTTCACTCTCTTTTATACTTTTTTGTTATTTTTTAATTTTTTAAAGATCTATTAACTTTATATGTATGAATATTTTGCTTGCATGTATGTATGTGTGCTACATGTATGCCTGGTACCCACAGAGCTCAGAAGAGGGTGTCAGATCCCCTGGAACTGGAGTTACATATGGTTGTGAGCATCCATGTGAGTGCTGGGAATCCAACCCCAGCCAGTCTTCTTCAAGAGCAGCCAGTAGTCAGCCAGTGTTATTAATCGCTGAGCCATCTCTCCAGACCCTTATTTTTATTTTTTGAGACAGCATCTTGTTATTGCAGCCGTGGCTGGTCTGGAACTTACAGCCTAGACCAGGCTGGCCTCAAAATCACAGGGAGGGGAGGAAGACCTCTTTTACTCTAGGAAGAGAAGTCTGGCAGTGTGTCAGGGTGGATTATTGGGGCCTGGATGGCACACCAGTTACTCTCTGAAGAATCAGGACTGAAGGAAAGAGTGAAGTTGAGATTGGGGAGCAAACCAAGAATGGGGGTTCATGGCCGCTGTACCTGATACTTGGGAGACAGGTTGAGAGTGCTTGAGCCCAAGGTATGGAAGCTAACTGGGGCAACATAGAAAGGACCAATGAAATGAGTCAGTGTTACAACATTTTCTACTAAGCTGACAACCTGAGTTCAGTTCCCCAGGACCCACACGATCAAAGCTGAGTCCATGACGGTGGACCAAAAGCTTGGGTGCAGGAGCAGCTGAGAGCTCACATCGTCTTTTATTTTTTGTGAGACAGGGTCTCTCGGCCAGCCCTGGCTGCCTGGGAACTTGCCATGTGGATCTCATCTTGAACTCACAGAGACCTGCCTGCCTCTGCCTCCAGAGTGCTGAATTAAAGGTGTGTGCCACCACACCTGGCATGAGTAAGAGAGAACATCTGGAAATGCCCTGAGTCTTTTGGAACCCTCCCAGTGATGCACCTTCTCCAAAAAGGCCACACCTCCTGCTCCTTCCCAAACAGTTCCACCAATGGGGACCAAGTATTCAAACATGAGTCTATGGGGGCCGTTCCCATGCAAACCACCACCCTGGGTCTCCAGGAGGACTGGGCTAAAAGTACACAAGGCTTGGAGCCAGGCATCCTCCTAACACTGCTGGTCAGTCCTGTGTTTTTTCCTTTTGGCCTGCTGGGGACCCATCCAGTGTTCTTAGATCCCTGTGTAAAAAGCACTGTCCATGGTGTAGACACTACAAAGGGACTGTCCTTCACTATCGTGTGTAAAAATCCTCCAGGTGTGTGTGTGTGTGTGTGTGGGGGGTCACACGTGTCAGATGTGAGCTGCTAAGCTGAAGCTCCAGCCCCAAGGTTTGTGTAGTTATAGACCAGATCATGCTATGCAGCCTGTGCTGTTCTGGAACTTTCCATGGAGCCCAGACTGACCCTGAACCTGAGATGCACTATATCAACCTCTCCAGTGCCCAAATGAGTAGCATGTGTCAACGTACCTGGCCCTCTAGCTTTCTTCTTTGCTTTGGTTTGTTAGAGATGAGGGCTTACATAGCCCATGCTGCCCTCCAGCGTGCTGTGTGCCACCATGCCCAGCTACCCTAGATTTTTAAAATAGATTCTTTGTAAAGTTTTTATTTTTTTTTTTATGTGTATGTTTGTGCCTGCTTACCTGTATGTGTACCATGTGTGTGCAGTGACTGTGGAGGCCAGAAGAGGGTGTCTGAGCCCCTGGAACTGGAGTTAGAGGTGGCTGTGAGCCACCATGTGGATGCTGGGAAGTACTCTTAACCACTGAGCCTTCTCTCCAGCACTGATTTATCCATTCTTTGCTTTTTGACTGATTTACTTTATGAGTGTTTTGCCTGCATATGTATGTGCACCACTTGCCTGCCTGGTGCCCTCAGAGATCAAGAGGGCATTGGACCCTCTGAAACTAGAGTTGTGGATGGTTGGGAACCAAGTGAGTGCTGGGAACTGAACCCAGGTTCTCGGCAAGAGCAGCCGGTGCTTTTAACCACTGAGCCATCTCCAGTCTCTTGATGTAGTCTTTAAAAAAACTTACTTATTAATGTATTTTTACATCCAACTGCCGTTTCCCTTCCCTCCTCTCCTCCCATTCTCACCACCACCACCCCCCGCCCCATTTCTCTTCAGTAAAGGGCTCCCCTGGATATCAGCCAGCCATGGCATATCAAGATGTGGTAAGACTAGGCACCTCCTGTCCTATTAAGGCTGGATGAGGTAACCCAGTAGGAGGAAAAGGGTCCCCAAAGCAGGTACAGAGTCAGAGACAGCCCTTGCTCCCACTGTTAGGAGCCCTACAAGAAGAACAAGTCACACGCCTGTATCATACGTGCAGAGGGCCTAGGTCAGTCCTGCAGGCTCCCTGGTTGTTCGTTCAGTCTCTGGGAGCCCCTGTGAGTCCAGGTCAGGTGATTCTGTGGGTTTTCTTGTGGTGTCCTTGACTGCTCTGGTTCCTACAATCCTTCCTCCCCCTCTCCCTCAGGATTCCCTGAGCTCTGCCTAATGTTGGCTGCGGGTCTCTGCATCTGTTTTCACCTCCATCTATTCTTTCTTTTAGTGACTTATTTATTTTAATTTTATGTTCAGTGGTGTTTTGCCTGTATGTATGACTGTGTGCAGGTATCAAATCTCCTGGAACTGGAGTTACGGTTGTGAACCACCGTGTGGGTGCTGGGAGTTGAACCCGGGTCCTCTGGATGAGCCATCTCTGCAGCCCCCTGACCTGTTCTTAGTTTCTCCATTGTATTTGTTCCATCTGACACATCACTCATTGTCATCATCGTTACTGTTGTTTACTGTTGTTGTTTGAGGCAGGTTAGCCTCCAGCTTGCTATGTAGCCCAGGCTGGCCTGGAACCCTGAGCTGTCCTCTTGTCTTGGTCTCCTGAGTGCTGGGGTCACAGGCAAGTGTCATCTAACATGTACCCTGCTCATCTGACGTTGTGTGACTCCTGTGTGTCTCTCCTCTGGAACACGTGGTTCTCGGGGCTGGGGATTTTTCTGCACTAGGGTTTCTCTACATTTAAGAAGTGGTGCACACCTGTAATTCCTGCACTCGGGAGGCAGAGGCAGGTAGATCTCTGAATTCAAGGCCAGCCTGGTCTATAGAAGGAGTTCCAGGACAGCTAAGGCTACACAGAGAAACCCTGTCTTGAAAAATCAAAAAAAGAAAAGAAAAAAAAAATCAAAAAAAAAAAGAAGAAGTAGGGTGAGCAGGCAGCAGGCTGTTTGTGAAATGCACTAGGAACATTTGAATCTTGTACAAATGAGGAAGGGTACCTGTCAAGGGCAGTGAAGTCTTTGAGTGTACCTGTGTGGGTACAGCCTTCCAGACCTGCCTCCAGTGGCCCTATCCACCAGCCAGGTACCATGTCCCTAAGTTTCCATGGCTTTCCAAGAGTGCCCCCAGTCAGGCGCTTCAGACATGGGTACATTCAGCTTCCGGCAGTGCCCTTGTAGCTGAATGTTGGCTGTTCAGGACCTGGTACTGTTGGCCTGGGGGCCTGGCTGGCACCCAGCCCCGTAGGACACAGTACCAGCTGCTGCTCTCCTGCTCCTCCTCACAGGCATTTGTATCAAGTGTGGGCTTGGCATCTACGGAGCGAGGCAGGCGTGCCAGGCCATGGGGAGCCTGTATCACACCGACTGCTTCGTCTGTGACTCCTGCGGTAGGTAACAGCCCCGCCCCGCCCCTGCTGCCCACCCCTCCCTGCACCCAGGTCTCAGACAGAAAACAGCTCTGGGGTGTAAGGAGGCTGCTCCCATCCTCCCATTCTCCCTTTGCGCGTGACTTGTGACACCTTGCTGGGCCTGGCCTGAGAGGCGCAGGCTTAAGGAAGTAGCCATGGAACCAGGGAAGGGCCTTCTGCCGGCTGTCAGCAAGGCTCCTCTCGGGTCCTAGGCTGTGATGCTTCCATCGACATACTGCCTGGGAGGGACGGGTGTGGGTGAGGGGGCTGTACCATCTGGACATGAGGTTAAGATGTTTAAACATTTTTAGATGGATTTATTTTACTTTATAAATGTTTTTGGCTGCATGCATGTGTGCACACCACATGTGTGCCTGTTGGACCTCCTGGGACTGGTGTTGTGGATGACTGTGAGTCACCATGTGGGTGCTGGAAATTGAAGCTGGGTCCTCTAAGAGCAGCCAGTGCTCCTAACTACGCCCTGCATGCCCGGGGCACTTCCAGACTCGATATATCACAGTAGAATACGTAGTATCCAGTCAACGAGAAGCTGCAGTGTCAAGCCGTGAAGATAGTGACTGTGCCTGTGATACTGCCACCCAGGAGCCGGGGCAGAACAGAGTTCAAAGCCAGCCTAGGTGACAGAGATCCTCCCTCAAAAAGACAGTGGGATCCCTCTGTATCTAAGGATGCACTACCATTCCTCGGTGTCAGTTTGGGCAAATCTGTTTACTTCACTGTGATGTGAAGAGCCCTCTTAGGCCTCATAGTCTCCCATCCCTCTGGATAAGTCAGTAATCCACATTTATCTTATTCCCACCGAATAAATGTTGTCCACAGTAGAATCAAGTGTACTGTGATTAGGTCCCTCCCCCTTTTTTTCTAGTTTTCCAAGACAGGGTTTCTTTATATAGCTCTGGCTGTCCTGGAACTTACTGTGTAGACCAGTTGGTCTCAAACTCACAGAGATCCTCCTGTTTCTGTTTCCCGAGTGGAGTGCTGGGTTAAAGGCCTGTGCCACCATGCCTGGCTTGAGATTTTCTTTAAGAAGGAGGGCCAGGGCAGGAGACGGCTCAGTGTGTAAGGTGCTTGCTGCACAAGGAGATCCCGAGTTTGAGCTCCAGCATCCACGAGTGTAGCCTCACCGTGATCCTGGTGCTGGGAGGTGGAGACAGGACCTCACGGGTTGCTGACTAGCTCATCCAGTCAGTTGGTGAGCCCCAGGGCCAGGGAGATCCTGTCTCAAAGAATAAGTTGGAGAATAATCAAGGAAGATTACAGTGTTAACCTCTGGCATTCACAAGCATGTTCACACATACACAAATTGAATTTTGCCTTGTTCAACTATAACCTCAGGAGTTGTTTCCTCCTCAAATGCAACCTTCAGTCAGGCTTTCTGAGGGGCTGCTGCCAGGGGCCTGATTGGTCTGAACTCGGCTGTCTGGACTTGGGTGGGAAATGAATATTTCCTTCTGCTGCACAGTCTCTAGACTGAATTCACTACTCCCTGGAGGCCTTTTGTTTTTAATAATTTGTTGAAATTTATTTTATGTGCATTGGTGTCAAGGTTTCAGACAGTTGTGAGCTGCCGTTCGGGTACTGGGAACTCAACCCAGGTCCTGTGCTCCTAACCGCTGAGCCATCTCTCCAGCCCCCTCCCTGGAGACTTTTAACCACAGGTAGCAGGGAAGCGCTTGGGGACGGAGGCAGGACTCCTCTCTGCCTGGGCCTGCCGGTGGCTCGGCTATAATCAACCCTTTCAGGCCCTGGAATTGGCTTTATCCTGAGGGTGGCTGCTCTCGAGCGTGATTTTTCTTTCAGTCCTGTCGCACTGTGAGTAGTGCGCTGCCCCTGCCCACCCGCCGCACAGCCGTCTGTTGGTGAGCGGACCACAGCTTGTTTCTCTGTAACCGTAGCAGACACCAGACTGTGCTGCGAACTCTCTCTTCCCTTCCCTTGAGTACATTGCAAGGGGCGGAATTTGGGGGTCGTAGGGTGTGTGTAACTTTACGAGAGACTGCCAAATTGTCTTCCCACGGACTGTGCCGTCACAGTCCCCACAGAGCCCAGGAGCCCTGTGCTCTGCACATCTGCCCACAGTTGGCGCTGCTGTCTTTCTGTGGTCGTTCTGCTGGGCGAGGTCTCATCGCGAGTTAAATGCATTCCCCAGTGGGCATCTTATCGTTTGCTTTTGCCCATTAATATATCTTCTGTTCTTTAAAAAATACATTCTTATTGTGCATGTGTGTGTGCAAGCATGCGTGCACATGTGTTCGCACGTGTGTTGGGAGGTGGGACAAACTTGCAGGAGTCAGTTCTCTCCTCCCCCATGTGGTTCCAGGGATCAAACGCAGGTTGTCAGGTGTGGCAGCAGGCATCTTTTGTTGCTGAGACTTCTTGCCAGCCTAATATGTACTTTTTTGGAGAAATCTGTTCAAATGTTTGCCTATTTTTATAAAGTTGGGAGTTATATAAAGTTGGGAGTTATTTGCACACACACACACACACACACACACACACACACACACACACACACACACGGTTTCCTCTGTGTAAGACCAGAGAACTTACTGGTGTCCTAGAACTTACTCTGTAGACCAGACTGACCTTGAACTCACAGAGATCTTCCTGCTACTATCTCAGTATTTGCCTTTACTGAGTTTTAGGAGTTTACTTACAAACATTTAGGTCCAAATTATTTCACAGGTGTATATTTTGTGAGTCGTTTCTCTTTGTGTGATTTTTTAAAGGATTATTTATTATGTATACAGAGTTATTTTTTCATTCACCCACCTGTTTGTTTATTTATTTATTCAGTTACTCTTTTATTTATTTAATTAATTTATTTGGTGTGTGTGTGTGTGTGTGTGTGTGTGTGTGTGTGTGTGTGTGTGTGTATGTGTGTGTTTTCAGTGCCAGCAAAGGCCAGGAGAGCATGTCAGATCCCCTAGAGCTGGAGTTAACAACCAGTGTGGGCCACCTAATGTGAGTGCTGGGAATCTAACTTAGGTCTTTGACAAGAGCAATGTGCAATCTTAACCATGAACCAACCTCTTCTCCAGCCTCATAAATGTAGTTTTATTAAAGGCGTGTGCCTTTAATCCTTGCACTTGGGAGGCAGAGGCAGATCTAGTCTACAAAGCAAGTTCCAGGACAGCCAGAGCTGTCTCAAAAAACAAAACAAAAATTGTAGCTTTGTTTTTCCAATATTGGTTCCTGGAATAAAAATGCATTTGGATGTTTGGACGTTCTCATATGCTGGCCTTCTAGCCTATCCTGGAATTTCAATAAACTTAGTAGAGTTAGTGGGTTACTAATGGTTTTCTCTACAACTCAATCATGTCTTCTGTGATCATAGATAGCTTTACTTCTTTCTAGTCTACGTCACTTCTAATTCCACATGTCCCATTATTATACACTGCCTAGAGCTGCTAGCATGAGACTGAATAATCTTGTTTGTTTTGTGGTACTGGAAATGTAACCCAGAGCCACACCCCAGCCCCTCACTGGGGGATTCTAGGTAGGAGCTCTACCACTGAGCCACACCCCCACCTCTGGGATTTTTTTAGACAGGGTATTCCTATATATCTCAAGCTTGCCTTGATTGCCTGCTGCCTCTGCCTCTTGAGATCTGAAATTACAGATGTGGGCCACCATACTTTGTCACAAAATGTATAAGAGGGAAATGACTTACTGTCTCCCCAGCGTGCCTGATGCAGCTGTGTGTTTTTCAAAAGCACCCTCACCAGGCCAAACCTTCTGGCGCCTCCTGCCAGAGGGCAATGCCAGGTGAGCAGTAGAGGGAGAGGAAGAGGTAAAGGGAGAGGTGCAGGGGAAGTAGTTTAAGAGGCTAGACTGTGGGCAGGCGTCTCCATGACGGGTAAGGTGACCTGCTGATGTCCCATGCAACCTAAGTCAGAAGCTCATTTTTTAGTAAAAGGGGCATCTGTAGGGCCCTGGCCCCCGTTTTGGGTAACTGTTGCCTTGCTTGTGGCCCTTGACCTTGATATCCTCCCTATGCTAATTCCCTGCCGGGCTCCACCCTCCTGAATGCTTAAGGGAAATTCCTTGTCTGTGTCCTGCATAATGGGCATTAACAGCTTAGATGCAAGATTGTAAACATCAGTAGTGAACTTCTGCCCTACGGGGTTCTCCCATTGTGCTGTAAGCCTGTATTTAAGACCTCCTCCCTCCTTTAATAAACAGCATTTGGCATTAAATAAATAAATTTAAAAAAAAAAAAAAGAGGCCAGGCTGGCCTCCAGCTAGGCTTTGTAGCCAAGAGTGACTTTGAACTTCAGGGTCCTCCTGCCTCCATATCCCAAGTGCTGGGATTACAGGCACATGCTACCACACCCAGCTTTATTATTTGGTGTTTCCAGGCAGGTCGTACTTTGTAGCCTAGGCTGTCCTCAGATTTTGGAGTCCTGCCTTCATCTGTGGGATGCTGGGTTACGGGTGTGAGACACCATTCTGGCTTGAAATGTTTATAACAGCAACATGGCATTAAAGGGGTGTTTAGAGGGAGATGGAGGGACGGCTCAGCAGCTAGGAGCACAGCTGCTGCTCTTCCAGAGGTCCCGGGTTCAGTTCCCAGTGTCCGCATGCTGGCTCACAACCATCTATAATGTTGGGGATATAATGAGGGATCTGATGCCCTCTTCTGGCATAAAGGTGTACCTGCAGGTGGAGCACTCATAAAATAAATGTTTAAAACAAATAAAGGGATGTTTAGAGATGTTCATAGTTTACTTTCTCATTGGTTGGAGGTGAGTACTGGCATTCAAGCCAGGGACCTCCCCTTCACCCCTTACCCTTCTAGGGAGACGACTCCGCGGGAAGGCCTTCTATAACGTGGGTGAGAAAGTGTACTGCCAGGAGGACTTCCTGGTGAGTCTACACTGTGTTGCTGGCCGAGCTGGGTGGGAGCAGGGGCGGGATCTCCTTCGGACTCACATGCAGACCTGTGGCCAGCGACAGTGAGTGCCCCTTTGTCACGTGACGTCCTGGATCCTGTGTCCCCTCTCAGTACTCCGGGTTCCAGCAAACAGCTGACAAGTGTAGCGTGTGTGGACACCTTATCATGGAGATGGTAAGAAACTCCCCAGTGACCTGGAGTCCCCCACCCTGGGTGGAGTCTGAGGGCCCCGCTCTCTCCTGTTCCAGACCCATGGCCGGCCGGGCTCTGAGCCGTGACCTCTTGGGGGCAGTGCTGAGTCCCGCCTGTGCCTCCCCCAGATCCTGCAGGCCCTTGGCAAGTCCTACCACCCCGGTTGCTTCCGCTGCTCAGTGTGCAACGAGTGCCTGGATGGGGTCCCCTTCACCGTGGACGTGGAGAGCAACATCTACTGCGTTAGAGACTACCACACGTGAGTTTCCCTGCCGGAGCAGTGCGGTCCACAGCACGGCCCTCAGCGGCTGTTCCCTGCCGACCTCCATGTTCTCACACTTGGGGCAGGCGTCTTAGCCCTGCTGTGGTGACAGTTCTTCACAAAACACTGTAAGGAGAGGTTGGTTTGGTTCACGATTCAGAAGACAGTCCACCATAGTGGGCAAGGCCTGGTATTGAAGGCACGGTGTTGGGACAGCTCTGGCTTTGGTGACAGGAGCAGGAAGATGGGATTCCTTACATCTTGGGACAGAAAGAAGAGACATCAGGAAGGAACCTGGAGTGAGCTGTCACCATTAAGCTCCCAGAACAGTGCCATCTGCTGGGGAGCAAGCGTTCTAACACATGAGCCAGGGAAGGTTCACATTGGACTGGAAGGGCAGGCCAGGGGCGTTTGTGCTTTCTGGTCCCTCTTCAGGGTAGTCTGGCCACCAGTCCCCTCCTGCTGCCTTTGCCTACACCTGCCCCTCTTCTTCCTTGTGGGCCTCACCTGACTGTTCCCTGCCGTCTGGCCTTTTGCTCCCGAGGGAAGGGTCCTGGTGCCACATGGGCGGCCAGTCTGTTGCTCGCTGTGGCTCCAGACTCAGGCCTCAGCTCTGGGTCTGTGCTGGGTCTGATTTTAGCCTTGGTACTCAGGGTGGCAGAGGTCTCCCCCTAGGGATGGCTTCAGTCTGGATATCACGGGCTAGAGAATGCATAGGGGATGGCTGGAGGGAACCTGAGGCCGTCCTGGAGGAGGAGGGAGGAGGCAGGAGACAGATAGGAACCCTGTCAGCCATTAGTACCAAGAAGGCAGAAGCGTGTCCACACAGGAGGGCAGGCTTGCCTTGGAGCTCTTGTGGTAGGTCTACCCCCGTGCACTTGCCTCTACTCACTGACCTCCTCACGCCCACTTTCCTTTCACCTTCCAGGGTGTTTGCACCAAAATGTGCTTCCTGTGCCCGCCCCATCCTCCCTGCGCAGGTAGGAACGCTTCACTGGGAAGCAGCAGCAGAGGCCTGGTCCTGAGGCTTTGCCTGCTCCTATCTGCTCTGCCTGAGACCCTGGGCCGCAGTAGACATGGTCACAGGTGGTCAGAGCTGAGGAACATGTAGGACGTCATGCAGGGGTGGGACAGATGTGCCCCGATGAAGTGCTGCTCGTGTGTTCCGCTGCAGCGCTCTGCTCCATTACCTGTAATAGGGAAGGGCCGCACAACGGCCCTGCATACAGTTCTGCAGTGGATGTTGGGGGGCCTAGGGCAAGAGGAGCAGATGGGGAGGCCTTGGCCTGTGCAGCCATGTCTGTCCAGGTCAGCTTCCCCAGGAAACTCGGCTGGTAGTGGGGGTTTTTGGCTCTAGAGACTGAAGATAGTATGCATGAGCCAACACCCACTCGACTTTTTTTGTTTGGTTTTTCAAGACAGGGTTTCTCTGTGTAGTTTGGGAGCCTGTCCTGGATCTCACTTTGTAGACCAGGCTGGCCTCGAACTCACAAAGCTCCACCTGGTTCTGCCTCTTGAGTGCTGGGATTAGAGGCGTGCATCTCTACTGCAACTTTCTTATTGTCACATGCATGTGTGTGGGGAAGATGCCCAGGGCACATACATATCTGCTCTTTTGCACCTGCTGAAGTACCATGTCCTTGTGCATGGGTCATGTCTGTCCAAGGTAGCACATTGTAGAGGGGGGCCTTAATGGAGAGGTTCTGGTGCTCCAGGTCCAGGGAGGAGCCTGTGTGTGAACCCGCCTCTTCCTCAGGGCTGTGAGACAACCATTCGCGTGGTGTCCATGGACAGAGACTACCATGTGGAGTGTTACCACTGTGAGGTAAGCCCCAGCCTCCCACCCTCCTCTGCACACCTTCCTCTGCACACCCTCCTCTGCACACCCTCCTCTGCTGACCCTCCTCTGC